TCCACTCTCACCTTATTATAGTTATAGTTTATAACACATTATCACCATGATAGTCACTCTATCCGGTCATATACCAAAAAGGTAAAAACGGTTTATGTCCGTTCCATACCAGAAAGGTGAGATTTCGATTTATGTGATTTTTATCTAAATTTAAATTTATGTATTATTTACGGAATGGTAGGTTATACCTCCTCCTTGATTTTATAGTAAGCTAGGCATACTAGTTATTTATGAAAAGACATAATAGGCTATGTTTTTTCGGGATTGATCATTATTATGGTAGGCGCTGCCTCCTTGATCAATTTAAAATTTTTTATGTCTCCTTATTCTCATGGTAGGCTATGCCTACTTGATTATGTGGAAGACTATGCATAAAGATTTATTATGTTTTACAGTTATTTATTTCTGCTTAATTATTTTATTCTAGTTATTATTCTTATTGTCTTTAATTTATTATCGCAAATTATATGGAAGGCTCTGCCTCCTGAAATATCTGTTTTAAATTATGTTGTTTTTATGCTCAATTTAATTTAGAATTCAAAATATAATAAATTCTTATCAGAGAATTTATTATGCACATGTCAATATAATATTAGACAGTGCAAACGCTCTAGAAGAGGGAATGCTCTGCAAGAGCATATGGCTGAGACATGCTTATATGTAGTCGTTTATACAAACAATAAGGATGGCAAAAGTTCACTGAACTGGTATAGTAAACCAGAAGTTTACTACCTGATTTAAGAAAAATTAATTTATGAGTAGTTATGCTGTCCAAATTTAGCAATAATATAAAAAATCATCGTGAAAACCAGAAGTTTTCACGCAGCATGTCTCAAGCAAAAATAAGGCCATCATGACAGATTCATAGTTGAATCACCATTTTTTTTTGTTAAAAAGCTCATTGGATATGGTGGTTGAGTTCTTTAATCTTCAAAATTACACCCCGTGTATAACCAATCTAAAAGTGAGATTCGGTTTAGATAAATGGGCCAGAAGTTCCATCATATTTAAAAGGAGAATTTAGAATTCTGTATTGGAAGTTTAAAAGGATCCAAGATAAAACACATAATCCAAGATCGATATGTTTTTGATCCTAAAGTGTGATTCTGTACGAGATAATGAACTAGAAAGTGTGATTCCGTA